ACACAACCAGCTTCGAACGTTTTGCAAGTGTCGGGTAACCACCATGCGTGAGGTACCACTTGCTGTTGAAAAACTTAGCAATGTTGTTGTGTGATGGAATGTTGTAAATTCTAACATTACTTCTCCATCACTGCATCAGCTCAACCGCTACCACTGGACTGCCTTTTTACACTCTTTTTATTGACGAATAAACAAGACCACGGAAAACGACTACATCTTGACAAGACGACAGACGAAAAGACTAGCTCACACAGTTTCGCGCATGCGCACAACACCACCAACCAATGACGCGTGCGCACAGCGACCAAGACGAAACAAACACGTGACACAAAATCTACCACACATACACTTGTAAATGTTCACAATAGCAAGAAGTCCCAGATTGCCTAGAGTGCCTAACGCCTCAAGGAAGGAGCCATACCTCAAAGGCAGAAGAGAATAGAGACAACCGGCTAGATCATTGCTGTAACGTTGTGCGTTTTATGCGCGTAGCAAAGCTCAGGCAATCCTCAGACAGCTGATGTTTGCCAATGTTGTGTGTGTGTGTGTGTGTGTGTGTGTGTGTGTGTGTGTGTGTGTGGGTGGGTGGGTGGGTGGGTGGGTGGGCGTGAGTGCGTGCATTCGTGCGTGCGTGCATGTGTGTGTGTGGGGGGGTGCGTGCGTGCTTGTGCGTGTGCGTGCTTGTGCGTGTGCGTGCTTGTGCGTGTGCGTGCGCGTGTGTGTTGATAGAGGTGCCATGGTGGTGCAGACTAGCTTCTACTTGACACGCCAGCAGGACACCTACACCGTTGTGAACGATGGTCAGTCCTGTGGTGAGGATATGGTGAGTTACGGTCACGGTGTATCTGTGCTAACTAGCTAGTGGTGTGCACGGCGTGTCGGTTACCCGTGCTACCCGTGAGCATCTCGGGTAGACGGCTGCAGAAATAGTCCACCCGAAAACCCAAAGTCAGAAGATGACATCATCGTGTACAGTGCACGCGTACAAACTCATGCATGTCTACCCAGTCTGTAAGGGAAGGGGTGCATTGTGGTGTTACCATGGAAACATTACCCGATCGGATACCCGTACTACTTGTGGAAAACTACCCGAACCCGAAGAAAATGCTACCCGACTCAGCCCTGCTGCTAATTCGCGATAACTGTGCAGCACTTATGTGCATGGGTGTGGACGTTTGTAATTCATTTACTTCTGGATTCCCTTGAGGCTGCTGGAAGGCCTGTCGAGGTTATCTCCATATCAGCAGGACAAACACACACAGATACATGTGTGTGTGTGTGTGAGTGTGTGTGTATGTGTGTGTGTGTGTGTGTGTGTGTCTGCGGGTGTGTGTGTGTCTGCGGGTGTGTGTGTGAGTGTGTGTGTGTGTGTGTGGTGAGAGTATAGTGAGTGGGATGACACAGTTTGCGGTCATTATTTTTAATTGTGCACTTATGTTTGTGTGTATGTGTGTGTTTGTGTGTGCGTGCCCTGGGTTGCGGGCGCACAGGTGCGTGTGTGCATGTATGGATGTGTGTGCGTATGTGTGTGTGTATATATGTGTGTGTGTGTGTGTGTGTGTGTGTGTGTGTGTGTGTGTGTGAATAATTGTGTGTATGTGTGTGTATATATAATTATGTGTGTGTGTACTCAATCTGCGGACAGCATGCTGTTTCGTTCTTTGTGAACTCATCAGCGCAGCACATAGAAAATGAGGCCGAACCTGATAGCAATGAAAAATATAATTTCCAAAGCCAGATTTATACCAGGCCCGAACGTACCTTGCCAGAGTGCGCAAACTGACAAATCGGTGAGCACTGCGTAACGCAAATAGCAAGTGTGTGTGTATATTATATATGTGTGTGTGTGAGAGAGAGAGAGAGAGAGAGAGGGAGAGAGAGAGAGGGAGAGAGAGAGAGAGAGAGAGAGAGAGAGAGAGAGAGAGAGAGAGAGAGAGAGAGACTCGTAGGCGTATCAGCAGCTCCTCAACTTCGTACCGATTTTGGTTGGCCACGTCTTCAAATAGCTCCAAGTAGCTTTCCACCGTCTGCTTTGCATCATATTTCGGAATTTTTATCGGTTTGGCTCTCAGCCCCTGAGCGCTCTCCGCAGACACACTGCTCGCTGTGCCATCTTGTTGAGCCGCTAACTCGACTTTCGCCTCTAACTTCGTTATCTTGTCCAGCAACTCTGTTTGCTGCCTGGTACTGTCTCTCTCTTCCATTCGAGCCTTGCGCTCTTCACTTTTCTAGATCTGCTCGGCATGCTCGACCCGCCTGCTCTCCACGTAACTCCGCAGACTCTCTCCAGTATAACCATAGGCCTTAGAGGTTCGCAATGAACGTTGCCTCCACACTCCCAGCCGAATACATCGGCCCTGCTCCTCGCTCCAGTGCAATACAATCCTGGCGTGGTCGCCAAATTTTGTGTATGCGTTGTATCTCAACGATACCTCACTCAAGACTTCCAGGCATACCGCACACAAGCACTCTCAGTCTCAACCACCACGGGCATTACGAGTTTAGATAGATAAACATTACAGTAATGATAGAATAGAATGCATAACGGGTATACGGGTAAGAGAGCTATTGCGACTTTGAGAGAACAACGAAAACCACCAAAGAAAACAACCAAGGAACAAAAACCACTCAAAGCGCTGTCATCAGCAAAACGTGCCAGTACCGGTGCACACACGGCGACCCAAGCGAACTCAGCGTACCAAACATGCAACAAATAAGGCAAGCCAGATATCGCGCACGCGTGAGATGACCGTTTGACGGTATACACGACTGCAGAAACATGGCAGCGGCTTGTGCACGCACACACAAAATAAATAAACAAATAGAAATTCAAACTACAATAATTAATCCGAAAGGAAAGAGGAAAGAGACGTATGGGAAGCCGAAGGGTTTCACCTGTCAGTGGGTGCTTGCACCCGATATGGGTGACAGTAAACCCTGTCAGATAGTGACACATCGTAGGATTACTCAGCAGCGGAACTTCACTCAGGGAGAATAGTAGCAAAGCACGTAAGTAACTCTAGCAAATCGTGAACTCTACTAGCAAACGCACGCAATGTTCATAATTACTCAGACGACACTCGTGGCCAAAGACCAACAGGTAAGAGAAGTTACCTAATACAGAATCAATTAGACTAAATCAATGGCATGCAGCAACAGCTTGCAGGAAAACAGGCAAGGAGTCGAAGTCGTGACGAGATCTCAGGACGTGCAACGGAGACCTTTTCAACGCATTTACAACACACACACAGAGAGAGAGAGAGAGAGAGAGAGAGAGAGAGAGAGAGAGAGAGAGAGAGAGAGAGAGAGAGAGAGAGAGAGAGAGAGAGAGAGAGTGAAAGAGAAAGAGAAAGAGAGAGAGAGAGAGAGAGAGAGAGAAAGAGTGCCAACGGTTTGGAATGCTCGTCTGCATAACTCTCTTTCCCTCCCCTCTGTGTTTCCTTCTCAAACTCGATGTTTCAGCCTTAGATTCGTTTCTCTCTCTCTCTCTCTCTCCCACTCCTGACAAGAATGGAACATTTTCTCAACACTATAATGTGTATATGCTATATAGGTATGTATGGATCAGCGCTGTGTTGATTTGGACAACGCCACCAACAGCATACAGTGCCCGTATCACAACGGCCTGGAATGTAACGACTACGGAACGTGTGATCAGTTTGGCGATTGTCACTGTCGGGCAGGCTTCAGCGGAGCGGCTTGCGAAACAGGTAAGTCAGCGACGTGTTTGTAACGCTGACGCAATGATTCTATGGCTGTTTTGGTTGGTGCCAGAAATTTCTGACACCAACCAAAAATACAACTTTTAGCTTTAAACCCTTACCTGTAGTTCACGCACCTTTCCTGGATTATACAACTTAACTCCGCGGTTTATGAACTCTACAGTATAACTCTATAGCAGCATTGCGCTTTTTTTCGCTCTCAACAGCATTTGTTGCTAGACACCTCTATGGTTGCAACTGCATTTCACCTATTGCACCTTTTACTGCATTTTTTGCCAGTCACCCCTATGATTGCAACTGCATTGCATCTATCGCATCTTTTACTGCATATGTTGATTTCTTTTGCTGTATATATATAAGCTATAGTCAGAGACAACATTTTTCATTCCTCGGATGAAGCACTGTACGTGCAGAAACCGGTCAGGTCTGATCCAATTTTTTTTAAAGTAGTATGAATTTTACTTAAAGGGGAAGTTAAGGCAAAAATTAAAATTTCACCAGTTGTAGTCTTCGGGGTGCTGAGTCGAATGGTCTTGGTCCGAGGAAGCTGAGACGCTCCCTTCCTACTTGAATCCCAATCGAACTCGCGCACTTCCACCGAAACTGGGTGACTGCGCCCTACGAGATGGGGATTTGTATGCAAAATGTCACTAAAAGCGCCATTTCGTTCTTATAAAAGCACGGATGACCGCGATTGGCCCATATGTTGTAGTCTTTGGGACGCTGAGTCGACTGGTTTTGGTCCGAAAAGGCTGCGATGCGGCGTTCCTCCTTTATTCCCAATCGAACATGGTTGAAGAAGCGGTCACGTGCTCCTGCGTACACCAGTCACCTGGTCACCGTGCCTGCAGGGTACAACTTACTTGTAGCCTGTTTGACCTTTTTTGGGTGCAGTCCTGTCACTCGAGTTGAACCCGAGTTGAACCTTGGTGTGAAAGTTGTCACCTGCTGGCGTGGTGACTAGGTAATTTGGGCACCCAGGACCACGTGACCGCTTCTTCAACCATGTTCGATTGGGAATAAAGGAGGAACGCTGCATCGCAGCCTTTTCGGACCAAAACCAGTCGACTCAGCGTCCCAAAGACTACAACATATGGGCCAATCGCGGTCATCCGTGCTTTTATAAGAACGAAATGGCGCTTTTAGTGACATTTTGCATACAAATCCCCATCTCGTAGGGCGCAGTCACCCAGTTTTGGTGGAAGTGCGCGAGTTCGATTGGGATTCAAGTAGGAAGGGAGCGTCTCAGCTTCCTCAGACCAAGACCATTCGACTCAGCACCCCGAAGACTACAACTGGTGAAATTTTAATTTTTGCCTTAACTTCCCCTTTAACTACTGTGCCTTTGTTGTGCCGGGAGATATTTGTCTCCATTTGATGTGTCGGGGGTTGTCCGTCCGAAAACTCAGATGTCAATGCATCCTGAACTGATATTGTACTGTCGGCTGCTGAAGAACGAACAGCGTAAAATTTCACAAAGCATAGCAGCATTCCATACGTGGTGCATAGACTGAAAATAAGAATGGTCTAGGCTACGAGGCTGACTTTGGGGTGGAGAATGGTCTAGGCTACGAGTCTGACTTTGGGGTGGAGAATGTTCTAGGCTACGAGGCTAACTTTGGGGTGGAGAATGGTCTACGCCAGGGTTGCACCCTGGCTCCGATGTTGTTCAATCTCTACTTCTCTGCCGTCCTTGCACACTGGCGATCAACATCCACAGTGCCTAGTTTCCCGATGAAACATCGTATCGGCCGCAAGTTGGTTGGCGACCGTACTGCCAAGCACAGACTCGCAGACTTATCCGTGTCAGAGTCGCTATTCGCGGATGATGCTGCCCTGTACACCACTTCGTATGAGCACATGGAGACGATGGTTAAGGACTTTACGCAGTGTGCGTCAGGCTGGGGCCTGACTGTTAGTGTGCAGAAGACGGAGTTCTTGGCGGTCGTTCCGAGTGTCATCCGTGCTGATATTGTGGTGCCTGGGAGTGCTGGTGATGTGATCGGCGTGGTCAGCAATTTTACCTACTTCGGCAGTACGATCAGCGGCGATGTAGAGCTGGATGCCGAAGTCACTACTCGTCTTGCCAAGGCATCGAGAGCGTTTGGTAGCCTCCTCCAACCAATCTTCCGGAACTCGGGTCTGTCACTTGGAATCCGACTTCAAGTCTACCGGGCTGTGATCCTTACAGTGCTGTTGTATGGTTCTGAGACATGGACGCTGAAGGCACCCCTCCTGCGCAGATTGGACACGTTCCATCGGCAGTGTGTTCGCACGATCCTGAGTGTTACCCGAGACCAGCAGTGGCAGAAACATCTGTCGAGTGACGACCTGGTGAAGCGCAGCGGCATGCCAGCCTCGCTGGAGGAGTCCATTCGTGCAAATCGCCTGCGATGGCTTGGTCACCTCGCAAGGATGGACGACACCAGGTTGCCAAAGCAGATCTTGTTTGCGGAGGGCACTAACAAGCCGCCTCGCCATGGACCCAAGCGTCGTTGGAGAGATGTGGCAGCTTCAGACCTCCTTGCGACCAGTATCCCGGAGGCCCGATGGTACCACCTTGCTCAGGACCGGAGGGACTGGCGTGAGCGTAGCCATCGGAAGCCACCAAGCCAGCCCCAACCAAGAGTGTTTGTGTGTGTGTCTGCGGCCGCGACTTTCGCCCTCCGAATGATTTATCCCGACACAAGAACTACTGCCTCGCCTAATAGCTATCATCGCCTTCGGCGATGGGCTTTCCAAAGGTGTGTGTGTGTGTGAGTGTGTGTGTGTGTGTGTGCATACGTGTGTGCGTGCGTGCGTGGGCGGGCATGCATGCGTGCGTGCGCATGTGTGTGTGTGATGACTACTCCAGACATTGACGACTGTGTCGATGTGAAGTGCCTCAACGGTGGTACTTGCCAGGATGGAATCAACATGTTCAAGTGCCTGTGTCCGAAGGACTATGCTGGAACTCTGTGCGAGCGTAAGTGCTCAATGTAGTATAGCACTAGATGAGTTTGTTGTCCAAATATGTGTACATGCATGCAAATGTGTGTGTGTTTTGTGTTTTTGTGTGTGTGTGTGTTTGTGTGTGTCCCATGTGGTGCAGTGGTATGTGCAGCGATTTCCAATCTAGTGGTTGCGGGTTCGATTCCCGGCGATTATGGTCACACACGTCTTTCTCCTCTTTCTCATTGTCCTAGCTCTTCTTTCATTCTCCTGGGTGGCTACCAACAGCCAGTGTATGCCGGAGTATGTGGTGTGGTGTGCGTGCGTAAAAAAAGTGGAAAATGAAAAATATTCACTGGCAGAAAAAGCCTGTGGTGGATACCAGGCTAGAAAATAGTGGCGGTCAATTCATCAGCCTTGCAAGTTGTTGAATGGTGAAGTCCCAGCACAAGTTGCTATGTCTAACATAGCTGTTCGCTATCATCGCTTCTGCGATGGGCATGTCTGAGGTCTGAGGTGTGTGTGCAGGGGCGTACATAGGGCGGTTCCCGGGATGCCCGGGAACCAGTAAAAACATTCGATATGGGTACAGAGAATTGTTTGATCCAGGCCCAGGGCTAGTACATGTAATACTAGTATAGCGCTGACAGACTCACAGTGCAAGTGCATGCAGTGCATGTCTGGAGTCCGCCTGCCGGTCCGAGGACGGTGACTAGCCCAGGTGTGAAAGTGGTGGTGGGAGTGGGACACAGCGTAGATCTACTGAACTGGGCCATGGGTTCAACAAATTCTCTAGTCTAGTTACATCGCCGGATTCCTCGATCTCAGAGTCAAATTTTCTTTTGGAGTTTGTTTTGACAAAGTTGGTCGTGTTTTGACGATGCTTTCGCTTTGTGGAAAAGAAAAATGAAGCGTCGACATCCAGAGGGCCAGCGCTCTATTCAGAGCTATTTTGAGCTGCAGGCAAAGAGTGAAGCCAGTGCTAGTGGCGAAGGTCAAGCGATAGATGAGAATGCAGACGCACCTGACGTGCAAGTGAAGTATGCATGCAACGAGCATCATCCAAAACTTACTTCAATGACATGGGAGTGTGTTGGAAGGGATATTCTGAAAGTCGACGTTCACAGTGGAATCCAGTCCCCCGAAATTTGCTGGACTCGGAAAAGATTTCCGTCATCGACAATCATTGTCACAATGTGCACCACCGCAGGCGAAGGATTTCATTTCCTGTGCGTGTCCAGATGGATGGCAAACAGCGCCACTTTCAACTATCCTTGTTGGAGGAGTTACCCTGGATAGTCTTTTGACAGGCATGCAATGGTGGCTTCTGCTTACCCTGTGTGATGTTTGCTCCAGATGATTCAAAACTGCATGCAATCGTCATGCTGAACAAAACATCCATAAAACGGGGAAAGGTTCAGTCTTTTATAATCATGAATGCGCAGCAATGAAATCGTCCAGCAGCTTGTTGATGTCAATTTCACCCAGTCTGAGGAGAATACCAGTATGCAGAAACTCTGTGGGGTACGAAAAACAGCACTTGAATTGTGTGTTATGTTGGTTCATCAGTTGGCATGGGAACCACTCCTGGAGGCGAGCGGCGTACGCCCCTGGTGTGTGTGTGTGTGTGTGTGTGTGCGTGTGTGTGTGTGCGCGTGTGTGTGTTCGTGTGTGTGTGTGTGTTCGTGCGTGCGTGCATGCATAGGGTCTCACAAGTTTGTGCCCTGCGCCAGTTCATAACATAGCGTCGGTATGTCAACGGCTGCACCGCAACCGGCGCATACTGCTCGACTCGCACAATTCATTGAGCATTGCTGTGCATAATTATACTGCTCCTGTAACTGTCAGCAAATCCCCGTATCTCTCTGTGTCTTGGTTGATCTGTCCCTGTGCTGCAGAAATGAATCAATGTGCCTTATCCCCAGACGCGTGTGCCGAGTACGGCAAGAACGGTGTGTGCATGAACGATGACAGCGGCAAGTCGTTTGTCTGCGGCTGTCGCCACGGCTTCACCGGGACCCCGTGCGAGAATATCGACGAATGTGAAGCGAGTGTGCTGCCGCAACGCCGGCCACATGCAGTGTCAATGTCGAGTGCCTGGATAGCGAGGGCAGTTACGAGTGCGTGTGTGGCAGCGGATACACTGGTGATGGGGCTACGTGCACGGACGTAAACGAGTGCTACGTGGGAAACTACGAGTTGTGTCCGCGGGAGTCCGACTGCAACAACACAATTGGCTCATTTGTCTGTACCTGCATGAGTGGATTTACCGGCAATGGAACGTCGTGTTTGGACGTGGACGAATGTTCTATCTCACCGAACGAAATTTGCCAACCGTATGGCCAGTGAAACAACACACATGGTTCATTTGTATGTGATTGTGTGAAAGGTGCCCAGCTCGTTGCGTACAGCAATCAGTGTGTCGATATTGAAGAATGCGAGAATCGTTACTACGGACCCACTCAGTACTGCGACTATCGCAGCAACTGCACCAACTCACCGCTGAGTTTCGATTGCAACGGCTGCAGGTCGGGCTACGAGGGCGACGGTTCCCCCGGCAACTGCTCGGATATTGACGAATGTGCGCTGGGCTTGCACATGTGCACAAACGGATTCGTCTGTAATAACTACTATGGAGGTTTCTCGTGCCAGTGTCCGTCCGGCTATCGCATTAACACCTCGTCGGTACGCTGTGAGGATCGGAATGAGTGCCTGGAGAACTACTACCGGTGTTACAGCAATTCAGTGTGTGTTAACGTGCCGGGAAGGTACCGCTGCGAGTGCGAGCCAGGGTTCCGTCAGTTCTACGGCCGTCAGCCTTACATCCGTTGCTACGACATTGATGAATGCAGGATGTGGACGGCCTTCACGAGTGCACAAACGGACTCCAGTGCGTGAACGTGCAGGGCGGGTTCTACTGTCACTGTTCCTACGGCTACCGGATCAACAGCTCCGGTTACTGCAACGACGGGGACGAATGTCTGGAGTACTACCGGCCGTGTTTCTACGACGACGTGATGTGCGTGAACACCCCCGGATCCTTCAGCTGCCAGTGCGAGCCAGGTTTCAGGCATTACGGCTACGGATTTGGTCGCTACGTTCGCTGCTTTGACATCAATGAGTGTAGCTAGGGTGCGGACGACTGCCTCAACGACACCACGCTCATCTCTTGCTACAATACGCAGGGCTCCTACCACTGTGCCTGTTCGCCCGGATACGAGGTCGACAACCAGACCGCGCCGACTCTGCCGGCCATGACGGCGACGCCGAGCGCGTTCTCCACGACCGCGCCATCAGATGAGAACCACAACGACCCTGTTCTGTGCATGGACCGCGATGAGTGTGATCAGGGCTATTGTAAACCGTACGGCAATCGTACCAACACACAGGGCAGCCATATCTGCAGCTGTTCCGACGGCGCCGAGGAGTGCGGCGGACAGTGCTTGGATCGCAACGAGTGCTCCGGCCAGCACCGAGGCCGCTTCTGCGACCTCAACGTGTTCTGCGTGAACACGCATCTCAGCTACGCCTGCAGTGGCTGTTTTCCGGGTTACCACGGCGACGGAAGTGCCGGCTCCTGCGTCGACAACGACGAATGTGCCAACGCCAGCCTGGTGGGGCTGTGTAGGGAGGAGCACGGCGGAGTGTGCATCAACACTGCCGGCAGTTACTTCTGCAACTGCTTGCCCGGGTATCAACGCGCCGGCTCGCGCTGTATTGATATCAACAAATGCTACAGTTCGTACACGGTGAGCCGTAACTGCGACGCGCGTGTGTCAATACGGTGGGTTCGTTCGTCTGTCAGTGCCGCCCCGGTTACACCGGCCCGGGCTGGCGGCGTTTCTATGACTACAGTTGCCGTGGCTGCGAGGACATCAACGAATGCGAGGATCCGGCCGTCATGGACACGTGCTCGCACGGAACCGCTGAATGTGTAAACACGCCGGGAAGTTACTCCTGCTAGTGTAAGGCCGGTTTTCAGCCAGATGACGGTGGCAGCTCATCCGATCTGCAATGTACAGACCAGAATGAATGTGAAATTCCGGTCTTCTGCCATCCGCATTGCAACTGTACGAACACAGTCGGAAGTTATGAATGCAATTGCCAGCAAGGTGCAACGCAAGTCAGCGTACTTTGCCTAGACATCAACAAATGCGACTTCAAAGCGTACATCGAGCGATACTGCGACAGAAACTCCTACTGCAGCAACTCAGTTCTCGGCTACGACTGTGGTGGCTGTCGACATGAGGCAGAGGGCAAGTGTACGGGTCTTGAAGAATGCCAAGACAAGGGTATTTAACTCTGCGCGGAGCAGAACTACACGACCTGTTTGAACACGCCTGGTTCGTTTCTCTGTGGCTGCGACGTTGGTTACTCCTACAGCAGCAGTCTGGCTGCTTGTACGGACGTCGACGAATGCTCTACCTACTTTGGGTACCGGTGCTCCTACCGAGCCACATGCAGAAACATTCCCGGTAGCTTTGAGTGCGACTGCGACCCGGGCTAGACGGGCATTGGGTACTCGTGCAGCCCGCTGAACAGATGCCGGGTGCCGGTGCTGAACCCGTGCAACGGAACAGCCGAGATCTGCGTGGATAGGTACTATGGCAACGTGCGCTGCGACTGTCTCTACGGCTTTCGACGAGAGGGCTTCGATTGCGTCGATATTGACGAATGCGTCGAGCAGAGCGCCTGCTAGCCATACGGAAACTGCACCAACTATCCGGGATACTTCACCTGCGATTGCGCGGCCGTAGCGGAAAGCGAACGGTGCGTCGACCGTGACGAATGCTTCCCGCACTATCGCAGCAGCCTGCTATTCTGTGACGAGAATGCCAACTGCACAAACACGCCACTGAGCTACGAGTGCCACGGCTGCCTCACTGGATACACAGGTGACGGCTCGGTAGGCAGCTGTGTGGATGTCGACGAATGTGCACTAGGAACAGACGGTTGTAATGTCACCGGCGGCGAACGCTGCGTGAACACGCGTGGAAGCTTTCACTGTGACTGCCTGACGGGATTCGTATTCGACGCCTCCTTGGGAGAATGCACAGACCTGAACGAATTCTCATATTCCAATCGCTATCGCTACTGTTCCTACAGTGCGTCGTGCCGTAATACTCATGGCTCATACCTATGTAACTGCTTGGCTGGGCTGATGTTCGACGGACGCACTTGCGTTGATGTTGATGAATGTGGAAATGGCGCGGAAACTCCGCATGCCTGCACCAGGAGAAACCAGACATGCCGCAACTACTACGGAGGCTACAGCTGTCAATGCTCGCTCGGCTATGAATTGTCATCGTATGGCGGCGACGGTGGTGTTTGTGCGGATGTGAATGAATGTCTTAAGTACGGCGCGTGCCGCTTCTATGGCACGTGTACAAACACTGAAGGCAGTTACACGTGTGATTGTGTCAACGGTTCCGAGGTCCTCTACTCCAGACATTGTCGCGACATCAACGAATGCTCGTACAGCTCTCGGCTGGCGAATCGTTCGTGTGACCGCTACGCCCACTGCCAGAACACGGAGCTTGGCTACCGGTGTCTGGGCTGTCAGCGTGGCTTCACAGGATCGGGACTACCCGACGACTGTATTGACATTAAGGAATGTTTGCTGCCGGCTAACAGCTGCGGTGCCAATACCAGCAACGCCTTCGGGAACATGTCAGAACACGCCGGGGGGCTCCAGCTGCAGCTGCTCACTGGGATTCAGATCGAGCAACGGCCGATGTGTGGACCTGGACGAGTGTTTCGGGTACTTTTGCCATTTCTACGCGGATTGCAATAACACGTATGGCTCGTTTTCGTGCGAATGCCGCGCAGGTTACAGCGGCAATAGGAGGGTGTGCTACGATGTGAACGAATGTCTCAACGACACGCTGAACAACTGCACCGGCTTCGGCGTCGAGTGTGTCAATCTTCACGCAACGCCCCCCGGGCGACGCCGACGACGGTAGTTGTGTGGATGTGGATGAGTGTACGGTGCACGGTGCGTGCCGGCCGTACGGCACGTGCACAAACACGGTGGGAGGGTACAACTGTACGTGCCGTGAGGGGTCCGAGCACACCGGCTATAGCTGCGCTGACAGAAATTAGTGCAAGCACCGGCACTTCTATTCGGGCCTTTACTGCGATCACAACGCCAACTGCGTAAACAACAACTTGGGATACATATGTGCCGGTTGTCGAACAGGGTACCGTGGCAGCGGATTGCCGGGCAACTGCACGAGAATTGACTACTGCGCCGAGAGGCCGCACCAGTGCAATGGCATCAACGAGGTGTGTCGGTTCTCTCTGTACGGCAATATCAACTGCGCATGCCGCCAGGGCTATTTTCGGAGAAACGGCACTTGCACGGACTCTGATGAGTGTGGATATGCTTATCAGTGTGGCCAACATCTCTACTTGCATCAATACACCAGGGTCCTTTAGATGCGAGTGTGCCGTCGGGTTTAAGTACCAACAACTCCCCATCTACAACTACCTTTACCTGTGTCTGGATATAGATGAATGTGCACTTGGCATCCATAACTGCAGTGATGCTGTCAAGGGTAAATCGAGTGGGTGCAACAATACCCTGGGCAGTTACCGATGTAACTGCTCCACGGGATATGCTGTATCAGTTTCTTCACATGACGGCAGTCAGGCTTGCTCCGACATTGACGAATGCACGGCGGGAACGCACGATTGCGCGGTAGGCTCGACGTTCTGTCACAACACTACCGGTGGCTTCGCCTGTCCCTGCTCACCAGGATACGTAGCCTCCCAGAGTGGCAATGGCAGTGCTTGCTTGCCAGCGGACTGCCGGGCAGTGTCCGTGCCGTGCGCGCCACTGGGCGAGTGCGTTTTACGCTCGCCTAACGACAACAATAACAACACTGGCTCGTACGAGTGCGAGTGTCAAGCCGGTGCGGAGCTGATTGACCAGCGGTGTGTGGATGTAGATGAGTGTAGCCGCAGCAGTAGCAGCAGCAATGGTGAGTCTCCGCCTTGCCAGGCAAACGCAAGCTGTCGGAACACACGGCCGGGCTTTGAATGCCTGTGCAGTGTTGGCTTCCAAGCTAGCACCGGCACCGCCCAGTTCAACGAGGGGCGTCTCGAGTGCATCGTCGCGGACGAATGCGCCAAGCGCGGCACCAACAACTGCGACGCGCTCGAGAGAGCTACCTGCGCAAATCACATCGAAAGGTACAGCTGCTCTTGCCGAGTGGGTTTCCTTGGAAACGGCCTACAAGGATCCTGCCAAGGTGAGTGAGGAGTAGAGAGCAAGCTGATACAGTCTCAGACCTCACTCCACCGCACACGTCCGTTTTCCACAAAATATCTGGAGAGGTGAGGGAGCCGGATAGCCGAACACCGGTTATGTTGGATGCAACACGCACATGTATGCTGTAAATCGGTAACCAGTAAGTTATTTTCATCCGGATGGCGAGGGATCCGGATAAAGGATTCCATCCTTCGACAGCGCGTCCACTACAGCGCGAGGCATTTCAGCGCGACCACTTCAGCGCAAGGCATTTCAGCGCGAGGTAGTGTCAGCGCGAGGCACTTCAGCGCGAGGTGATGTCAGCGCAAGGCACTTCAGCGCAATGTACTGTCAGCGCGAGGTAACGTCAGCGCCAGGCACTTCAGCGCATATACGTCAGCGCTGTCTCAAACCGTTTCAATTCCATTTTGGAGAGTTAGCTTGCATAGGAAAATTAAAGAAAATTATGGCCTATCCGCAAAAATACTGTGTCTTTTATAGGGTGACTGGTGTACATGGCAGTGGTAATACCCCATACAAGTTGTCAATAGTCATTGATAGTCAGTAAGACAGTAAAACCTGTGACTAACGACCACCCCTTGGTGCCAGCAAAAGCGGTCTTTAGTAGCAGGTGGTCTTTAGGTAGAGGTTTGCACCGCGTGACCGTATATGGACCCCGGGTATACCCACTTATTATGGATCCCATTATATGATATTATGTATGTCCAAATGCAGCTAATTCAATTCCCCAGAACTTGCGCAATGTCATTCTTATTTCAGGTCAAACAACACTTGGAGAGAAGGACGGAGAGATGGATAGAGACAGAGAGAGAGAGAGAGAAGATAATTTTTTTGCAGACTTCAAATTCAGCTGCTACTTCTGAAGCCAGGAGTCAAACGTTCCCTGGGGAAGTTTCGTTTTGCGCTGGGCTTCAAATTTGTTCATGCGATCAATCGTACCGACTGTCCTTGTTGTGACTCCTCTATTGCTTGAACGCGATCCTTCAGCATTAGGACCTTGTGGTGCTGCTTTGTTTCTGGATTCCTTGATGCCAGCGTCGATCCGTCTGTATGTTTGGGGTGACAGAGCCGCCCAGTCTTCGTTTCTCCTCCGAGTAGTAACATCGATCAGAGAGCGCTTTCGATGCGCTCTCCAAGACGTTTCCTATCATGTTTATTCTTGACAGCGCTTGAAATTTTGACAGGTGTAGTGCAGTCCACACCGACTCCACGGTCAAAATTCCCTGCGTTCATTTGTTCAGCTGTAGTATCGAAAGATTCCTTTCAGGACCATGGAAAATCAGCAAAATTTCAAGAAGGAACTTCGAGCAACATTTGATTTCGCACATTGCGGTCGCTAGTTACGGGTCAAAAATGGTCTTTGGGACAAGAAAAGGCGGTCGCTGGTCGCGTTCAGCAGGTAGTCGCTAGTCACAGTGCATTTTGAATGTGAGACCTTTCGTGCCTGGCGAAGTGGTCGGTAGTACCAGGCTGGTCGCTAGTCACGGTGGTCTTTAGTTACAGGTTTTACTGTAGTACCAGGCTGGTCGCTAGTCACGGTGGTCTTTAGTTACAGGTTTTACTGTAGTACCAGGCTGGTCGCTAGTCACGGTGGTCTTTAGTTACAGGTTTTACTGTAGTACCAGGCTGGTCGCTAGTCACGGTGGTCTTTAGTTACAGGTTTTACTGTAGTACCAGGCTGGTCGCTAGTCACTGTGGTCTTTAGTTACAGGTTTTACTGTAGTACCAGGCTGGTCGCTAGTCACGGTAGTCTTTAGTTACAGATTTGACTGTAGTCACTAATTAGTGCCCGTACGTACATTAACATGTACGGCGCTGAAGTGCCTCCCGCGGACAAAAATCTGCGCTGAAGAAGTTGGCGCTGACGTGTCCTGCGCTTAAAATTTTGCGCTGAAATTATTGGCGCTGTCAAGACACAGCGCTGAAATGGCACCGAGCTGAAATGCCTCGCGCTAAGGCGGTCGCGCTGAAGTGCACCGCGCTAACATGGACGCGCTGTCGCGGGAGGTTACCGGATAAAGGAGGACCGACCGGATAAGCGAGGTCTGACTGTATCAGTCATGACATTTTGTAAGGGAATCCAAGTTTCTGAGAACGTTACCGGTGTGTACGTGTGCGTATGCACATGTATGCATATGCATATGCACATCTGTTTGTGGGCGTATGCGCGTGTATTCGTATGCATATGCGCGTGTATTCATGTACGTATGCGCGTGTATTCGTGTGCGTATGCGCGTGTATTCGTGTGCGTATGCACGTGTGTTCATGTGCATATGCACGTGTGTTCGAATGCACGTGTATTCGTGTGCATATGCACGTGTATTCACATTCATATACACGTGTATTCGCGTGCGTATGCATGGGTATTCGAGTCCGCATGCATGGGTATTCGAGTCCGCATGCATGTGTAATCGTGCGTATGTTTGTGCAAGCATCTGTCTGTGTTTTTTTCGCACTATCCCCAACGCAGATGCTGACGAATGCAGCAGTGAAACGCATGACTGTGACTTAAGACGTTCGTACTGTCAGAACTCACCGGGCAGCTACACGTGTCCGTGTCGCGACGGCTTTACGCAGAACCTGGCCACCGGTGTTTGCACAGACCTGGACGAATGTGCCGGGGACTCGAACAGCTGTGGTCGCAACACGCGCTGTGCCAACACCCTCGGCAGCTACGACTGCCCGTGCCTGACCGGCTTCAACGCCACGCTCGCGCTTGCCGCGTCCGAGCCGCCGCAAGCCGCGTCTCCGTCGCCGCGGTTACGTCAATGCTCGGACGTTGACGAGTGTTATCTAGGCGTTCACGGCTGCGGCGTCAACACGCAGTGTGCTAACACGGATGGCAGCTATGCATGCGCATGTACGGCAGGATTTACCGGCAATGCGGCACGGGCGTCAGGCCGAGATTGCTATGATATTGACGATTGTGAGCTGGACGTGTGCGATGCCGTTTCGACGATGTGCCGTAACTCCGACGGCGCCTTTAGCTGCAGGTGTCGCCGTGGATTTGTGCCGTATGCAGCGAACACGACACACTGCAGTGATGTTGACGAATGTCAACTGATGATACGGAACTGCTCAGGTAATCCATCTTGATGTAAATTGTAATATTATTTCGCTGCCTAGCCTGCTTGGAAACTATAGGATGTCTAAAACCCTCTCTGACACTTTTGTTGTGTTCAAATAGACCCTTTGCACAATAAGCGAGAGGGGTCGAGACGGGGCATGCTGTGCACGCGCTGCACACTTGGTATGCAACCAGCATGCATGGTTTGCTGCAGGACGTGATCAAGTTTCCTATGACAGGCTGTGTTTTCACGGTCCAGACGCGATGTTCATGTATGTACTTCCCAGCCTTTTTCATTTGAAGTTTTTTTAGTTCTGAAGGAAGAAGTTCCGAAATGCTTTCCAAGGACCACTGTTGGGTTCTTGTTTGCAGCAACCGTCATCCCTAGTGGCTAGTCTAAGAAAACCCACTTGTCTTTCCATGCATTCCCTGGTTATGCTGGCATTCCACACTCTTGAATCCTCGCTATCTGGCGAGAAGAGGGCCGCAGTTTGCTGCGACATCGTT